GTTTAAATGATATTTTAAAAATATTTACTATATAGTAGTTATTACATAACAATATGCTGAATTTGTAATTATCTATATCAGATTCTAACGATAATTATAATTATAATTAAATTCGGAGCCATTTGGAGCATTCAAATACTTTTTTAAGAGTACATTTTTATTTGGTAATACCACAAAAGAATATTATTTTTGGTACGAATTTAATTATCGGTAGATGTAGATTATTACAATTTTAGCATATTCTTATGTAATAACTACTACCCAGTGGCGGCTGGTGGATTTTGGGCACACCCATATCTCAGTTATTAGACATAAGACCCACATCAAATTTATATGAGTTTATAATGACATTATATAGACAAGTTCTGCGCAAGCAGAATTTAAATTAAAGTTTTCGAAAAAAAGTTAGTTTTTAAGTGCAACCCCCAGCCTCCTGCCCCTCCAAATTAAGATAATTCAAATTAAAGTGGTACAATATTTAATTCACTGAAGTTTATCGACAAATTTCAAATTTTATTAAAAAAATTCAAGTATTACAGATTTTATACCATTTTAATTTTTTTTAAATTTAGTAAAAGGAATAATAAAAATTATAAATGGTATAAAACCTGTAATTCTTGAATTTTTTTTAATAAAATTTGAAATTTGTCGATAAACTTCAGTGAATTAAATATTGTGCCACTTTAATTTGAATTATCTTAATTTGGAGGTGCAGGAGGCTGGGGGTTGCACTTAAAAACTAACTTTTTGTCGCAAACTTTAATTTAAATTCTGCTTGGGCAGAACTTGTCTATATAATGTCATTATAAACTCATATAAATTTGATGTGGGTCCCATGTCTAATAACTGAGATATGGGTGTGCCCAAAATCCACCAGCCGCCACTGCTACTACCTATATAAAAAATATTTTTAACATACGATTTATGCAAATTTTATAGGTTAACGAAGAATTGCCGTCAAAGAAAGATTATAATCGTATTTAGCGATAAAAAGTGTGGAAATAAATCTATACATCCCATATTTCAATTTTCTTCAGCATGTGTATCTGCAGAAAATTAATTTTTAGAAAATATTTTTAAGGTTAGGGGTAAACTGCTTAGTCTGCAATTTATAGTTGGATTATTTACGTACTTGGCGATAAAAAGTATAAAAATTTAACCTCATGCCAATCTTTAAAATGCTTTAAACATCTATAAAGAAGGTAAAAATACATTTTTTGAGAGTTCTTTTAGGTTAGGAACATACAGTTTTATGTCGACTCTAAGGTAAGGCCATATTTATATTAGGCAATGAGAAATACAAAAAACAAATGCAAAAATATGTATCAAAAATGCATTTAGGGGCTGTAAATTTCACAAAACTGCTTTTTAAGTTTTTTTTGGGGTTAGGGGCGAACCATTGTGTAATCAGCGGTTAAAAAAACATAGAATCACTGATAATAGATTAGTGCATATAATCAAATTCAATTTTTAATTTTATAACGCTGTTAGTTAATGCAAACTACCTAAAACGGTTTTTTTAAATATAATAAAATCTATTTTTTCTTTGTTTTTGGTTATTAAATTGCTTATATCTCTTAAACAAAGTACTTTAGTGATATGAACGTAAAAACCTTTTTTGTCAAAAATTAAATTTTCTACAACTTTTTTATTTAAACTTTTTCGGTAAAACCATTCATTCGCTCGATTTTCTCAAAAATATGTGAGAAAAAGTGAAAAAACGACGTAAATAAATCAAAAACAAAATTGATGCAGGGCCTTTCAAAAACCGTGAATACTATGCAGGAAATTATGGTGATAAAAATTATAATTCAAAACCCGGCCAAAATATAGAAATTTAAAGTAAAATTGATTAAAAATACATGCTTTTTATATGGAAAAACTACAAAATTAAAAAGGAAGTACTTAAAATCAAAATTAAGGGCTCAAATTTTCAGGGAATTTTTTTTTCAACTTAAAAAACAAAATTTTCATGTCAGCAAGAAAAAAAATAATTTTCGTTTTAAATGAAACACCCTAATATACAGGGTGTTATGTAATTAATGTTATATATTAAAATACTGAATACCTTTTGACATAAGGAATAAAGGAAAAATATTTAAAAAAACATTTTTCTAAAGATAAAGAAAAAATATGCATTAGAAGTTTTTTATATTTTTTGTGATACGCCACTGGTTACACACTTAGTTTATCTCTGCACACTTGTATTTTGTGAGTACATAGATACCAACCAACAAAGTAGCTATGCGTTGCCAGATGTAAACAATTGTTACTAAAAATTTTTCTTGCAAAAAATAAATAAAAACTCAATAAATACAAAAGTTTTATGCCCTTAAAGCTCTAATACCCTTCTGTATTTATTTACTGATCCAGCTATTAGCTTAAGCAATGATTAGAAAATTTAGTATTTTTGAAATTTGAAATCCATAACCACAAAATTAATTTTTTCATCAGTTTTTTTCTCTGTTTACTCAGATGAAATTGGGACCAGTTCACAGGTTAAACTTTAAACATTTAATTTGTGTAAATAAATCCAAAAGCACTTCCCTTAGTTAAGATATTTACAATTTGAAAACATAACCTAAAATTTAAAAGAAATGCACTAGATTCTGTCATAAAAGTTGTCAGATTTTGTTTGAATTTACCTTCAGTACAAAAATGAAATAACCAACAATTAATAAAAACGCCAAATTGACAATTTGCATTGTTAATTTTGTCATTTTTGTAATTAAGCTAAATTTAAACAATGTTTGTCAACTTTTTTGAGAGATTTTGGAAACACTGTTGTTAGTAACAACTTGTTATCAACCATAACATAATAAATCCACCAGATTAACCTAAAGTTCCTAGTCGATCAGTGGCGTACTTTTTGGTAGGATAAAGGTTATTATAAATTATTTTTAGACTTTGGAATTTAGAAAAAAAAGTTTCAGGTGCTTCTTTATGGACCCTAAGGAACAACCCATTTTAATATATAACATTAATTACATAACACCCTGTATATACACCATATACAGGGTGGGCCAATGGAAAGTTTCCACCCGGTTTTCTCAGGTGTTACGAAAAAAAATAAAAAACGCTTGCACCCGTCGATTTCTGATTTGAGGGGGACAATTTGTTTTTATATTTTCAACCCCTTAACTTCAACCCCAGAGCGTAGGTGAAAGTTACCCCCAAAATTTGAATAGTAAAAGGGGGTCGAATGATACTTCTTTTTGAAGGTATTTTTGCCCTGATTATACCCTCCAAGTTTAAACTCGCTGCTATCATCCCCATTGATATGACAGCTTGTTAAAATCTTGGCTATTATTTTAGTAAGAGTAAAAGCGATACTTTTTAGACAGTCTGTAGGTATGCCGAAGGCATGAAGTAAATATTAGCAAAACATCAGTTTTTTTACGTTTGAAGAAAAAAGTGTATTTTTTGTAAACTTTATTTACAAAATATTGTCGCACAATCATCATTAAGATTATTATCGTTAGTTCGAGAGCTTATAACTAAATTTAATTATGGTATACACTATAGCCGAGCGAGTTGAATTAGTTTATACTTATTTCAAAAACAATGACTCTGCAAGACAAACAGCACGACTATTTAATGTAAGACATCAGGAAAAAATGTCTCTCATACTTATATTAGGGAACTGATGGTAAAGTTTTTGGAAACTGGAACAGTGGAGAACAAAAAAGGTAATCCGATTCGTGTCGTTAGGAATGAAGGTATGCAAATCACAGTCATAGGGCACATTGCAAGTTTCCGGCATATCACGAACAAGCGTAAGGAGAATTTTGAAGGTTCACAAATTTTACCCCTACAAGATACAATTGCTTCACGAACTTAATGAGGATGATTATGATCGACGATTATAATTTGTAGAAGAAATGAGTTGGCAATCTAAATTTTCTTTATAATGTCTGCTTTTCAGATGAATGCTTTTTTTTACATGGATTAGTCAATCGACATAATTGTCGATACTGGAGCGATTCAAATCCATATTTATTTAGAGAGTCTCATACTCAAAATCCTGAAAAGTTAAATGTCTGGGCAGGTATTCTAGGCAATAACATAATTGGACCATTCTTTTTACAAGGCAATTTGACTGGGACTATGTATCTGACATTACTTGAAGAAAATATTGTTCCTAGAATAAGGAAAGTTATTGCTGAAGATAATAACTTGTCGCAAAATGAAATGTTTTTTCAACAAGATGGAGCCCCACCGCATTATGCAGCACCCGTTTGGCAATTTCTAAATGAAAATTTTAGAGACCATTGGATTGGCCGAAGAGGACCTATTTAGTGTCCTGCAAGGTCCCCTGATCTTTCACCTCTGGACTTCTTTCTATGGGGCCATTTGAAGTCTAAAATTTATAAAACACAGCCAGCTTCTCTTCAAGTTCTACATGTAGAACTTGCAAGAAGTTCTTGCAAGAACGAATAACTGAAGAGTGTTAAAGAATAACTACCGATATGTTGCAGAATGTTAGAGAAGAGGTAGAGAATCGATTTTATTATTGCATGAATGTTAATGGAGGACATTTTGAACAGTTTATTAAATAAATAATAAAACTTTAATTAGTAGATATTTTTATTAAGGAAGGTAAGTATTGTTTTTACTTATAATAAAACGTGATCTATTTCCAATATTTTAACAAGCTGTCATATCAACGGGGATGCTAGCAGCGAGTTCAAACTTGGAGTGTATAATCAGGGCAAAAATACCTTCAAAATGAAGTATCACTAGACCCCCCTTTCCTATTTAAATTTTGGGGGTAACTATCACCCACGCTTAGGGCTTAAAGTTAAGGGGTTGAAAATATAAAAATAAATTGTCCCCCTCAAATCAAAAATCGACGGGTGCGAGGGTTTTTTTTTTTTTTCGTAACACCTGAGAAAACCGGGGTGGAAACTTTCCATTGGCCCACCCTGTATATGAACTACTACCTATATTTGTAAAAATTATTTTGATTTTAAGGTTAATTGTTATTTATATTGTTTTAGTGACTTGTTTCGACTGAGATTATAATTGTTTTTGGCTATAAAAACAAAATGAAAACTAAAAAGGCAGTAATAATTATGTGCTGTGTATTAGTAAATATTGCATTTTCTCAAAGAAAAAAATTAGATAAATTTCATAATTTGTTGAAAAATGTAGAAATGGTAAGTTATAAATATAAGTTGGAAGTTTAATATGTTTAATTAGAATTTTTAATTCCTTATAAAAATTGCAATTCTGTAAAAGGTATTCTCTGTTTGCATTTCATATTGTACGTTACTCTGCCAATTAGTTGTAAAATAAAATTTTGTCTTATAATAAAAAAGTGTTTTTATTAAGTAATAAACTTAACTGGCGCAGTCTTGGTAGGATTAGTCGAAGTACAACATCCTGTTTTACTTGTGTATCAACACTCTATCGACTAATAAACACTTATTGAACATCTAAGACATTTTTCGCAACTTGTGACGAGTACGGTCAACAGTGAAACCAAGGATTTTACCGATCCTGGATAAAATCTTGCGTGATTCGCCTGATTCATCGAGAACCAGTGGGAGCTGAGAAATCTACAAAGGATCAAAGGGCACCCGTTTCACATCAACAAGGAACCGCAAGACCTGCAGTAGTCAAGGACAAAAATCACCCTCAGAATGCTACAGGATCTTATACTGTAAGTCGTATTTATTTGTTTTTTTGATTTTTTCAAGAGATCTTGTGTTTAAACTGCCTTGAATTACTCTTATTTAAATACAAAATTTAAATTCTTATTTAAATTTTATAAGTAGGTACATTACCTTTAAATCTTAAATTTAAAATCTTTATCTCAAAATTGACGAGTTAACCGAGTTATTAAACAATTTAGGAATCAATACAGATTCTAAATCTAGCACTATGACAAACATTCCATCTTTCGAAACTAACCATTTAAAAGCTATTCCCGATTTGACGGTGACACGTTTACCTTGTCTCGATATATTAGTTCGTGTGAACTCTTGATTAAATATTTTTTAACCCAGCTGCAGATCAAGTAAATTGTTACCAAAATAGTTTAATATTGCATTGCCTAATTGGTAAATTAAAAGGACAAGCGAAATTAGTAGTTGATTCACAACCTATCAACAGCTGGTTAGAGCTAAAAGACGTCTTAACTCAAAATTTCTCTGATTCAAAAAATGAGGAAAACGTCAACGTTTCTATGAATGGTGCTTGTCTCAACTTGAACTCAAGTTGAACGCTCGATGTACCTTACACGAGCCAGCCAGAAACAGACCTATACAAACAATACCAAAAATTAACATTCAGCATTTTTTCTAAACGGACTGTTCGAACCTCTTTGTACAAATATTTTAAATATGCAATATTTCACCAAAATCAAAATTCAATTATAAAATAGTTCAAAAACCTTTACAACAAAATTCATATTTAAACTTTCAAAATTTTCCAAACTTTTCAAGTTTTAATAATTTACCCATACAAAACCCTCAGTTTTCATTTATAAGGCAACCATTTCAATACAAAAATATAACGACCTATTCCGGTCAAACAAAAAATGTTTTTGCCCCAAATCCAAATTATCGACCCACATAAACCTACGCCTATGAGTGGAATTTCACAAAATCCAAGCAAACATTCGACAAACTCTCATCAGTCAAACTTTACCAATAAAAATAGGAATTTTTTTAACCCAAATGGACAAAAACCAAATTTTGTGGCAGAAGAACTTTATAATGCGGAAATTCAGTCAGATGAGTTTTTCGAAGAACCCTTATATGATCTCGAATAAAGTGAACAAGATACTTATGTTATTCCAGGAATCATGCCAGAAGAAAGCGAACAAGTTATGTACCTATCATAATGACCCGTATACAAAATTTTGAACCACAAGTCAATTAAAAAGTCTTTGTTAAATCAAAACAACGTACCGATAAACTAAAAAATAAATATCAAGAACGTCAATAGAAAGTAACGAAATTTTTTTCCTAACAATAGTGAACCTACCTTATATTACCCAATCCCAAAATATTCAGAAGACTTTGAAACTTTAGAAGATAACCCAGGACTTCTTCCATTTCTAACTGCCTTTTATCAAAAACTACTATTTTATAAAGACCTAAAACTCCTTGTTAACGAGGCAAATTTAATTAATATCCAATACGACAAATTGATTACTACTTTGGGACAAAGTCACACACAAATTTCATTAGATGTAGAAATAGTAGACATTGAAAAACTTGTTAAACATTATCTCTCTAAACGCGGTTTAGGTAGTCTATTTAAAACAGTAACCAGAAACCTCGATGATAACCACGGTCAACGCTACGATCAGCTGTTGAATAAATTACAACATAATCAAAGAGATCTCCAGATTCACTTAAACGAACAAAATACAGTATCGCGAAAATTAATAAATAAGTTTAATGCAATTACGTCAACCATACAACATCATAAACATACTACAAGACAAAATTAATAAAATAGCATACTTAAGTAGAAATGTTCAACCAAATAATCACATTAAATTTATATTTAAGTATATTCTAAATTAATAACGTTAGTCAGGTTAATTCTTTTGGAATTAGATACAGCAATAAACTCAAAATTAAGCTAACTACATTCTTTAATACTGAGTAACTATGACTTACTTTACCCTTAACTACTCGCGCCAATTTTTGTAACATAAGTGGTCGCGCGGTGCACTAAGTGCTCCGCTCCTTAAAATGGCTATATTGCTGAATGTTTTCAATTTTAATATTACTTTTGCTTATATTCGGATGAATTAACTCTATTTTTATTAAAACACAATATTTATTTTAAAAAGAAACAAAAAGCAAATAACAAAAAATAAAACAAACAAAAAAGTTGTTACTTCTACTCAGAAAAGAAGAAATCAGAATGAAATTTAGCCTAGTTCTATTTTTATTTGTGTATTCTTAGAAAAATGTATACCTTAAAAACCATTAGGTTTTAAATTCCATATTTTGTTGATTTAGAAATATTTTACATTGCAAAAATTGAAATTTAGTTACGTTTTAGTGAAGTATTTCTAAATCAATCTCAAGTTTTCTGTCCATAACTTTGAAATTAGTAGTTTAAACTGAATATGCCGTCGACAGTGCATGGTAGACACATCAGTCATAGGTTACATGGAAAGGGCATTTAATTCCAAGAAAACGACAAAAAGTTATAGAGGTTTACGAACTCACATTATTAAATACAAAACTAAACTTACCAATAAAGCCTGATTATGATAATATATTCGACTACGAAAAAAATTATTAAAGTAAGCACTTAAGTTTTTAATTTTAAATTAATTTTTGTTTTGGATTTACCAATAATAAAAAATGCAAATTTGAGCACATTCCATTTGTTTTCCATACCCAAAAATATTAATAATACATTCATGGCAGTTATACTAAAAACAATATTTCTGTTAAAATCTGATAAAACTTATATATTCGATAAGCAGTTAAACCATTGAGTAAAGAAGTGGGGAAGAGGCGTGGTCTAATGTATTTAAAATAACTCCAAAATCGATCCTCGTTGTTAGAGGCGCCACCGTCGATCTTATCTTGAGATTTAAATTCTAAATTAGAGTGAGACCGTTAGAGTGAGACAGTAAGAAACGCGTCGTCATCAGCATCCCCACTTTCTATGCAATGCGCGGCGGCCGCCGGTCGCATGCATCGTGAAGGTCGACTAGATTAAATTTAATTCAGTTTGCACAAAGCAATTGCTGAAGTAGGTTGTTGTACTTAATTCGTTAGCGAAAATGAATAATTTACCTACAAATACTTGTTTATATAACAAATGTTTTAAAAAAAAAGGCAAAACCAGCTTTGTATTGTTCCAATTTCCAATAAAAGACACCGAACGGTGTGAAATTTGGAAGAAAAATTCCGGAAATCAACTTTTATTGGATTTAGATTATAATGATCTAAAATTTAAATGTATTTGTGAAAAACATTTTTTGCCGAAGGACATTCTTACAAGCCTTTTTTAATAATTAATTCTTTAAACGCATTAAACAATTACTTTTATATTCTTTATGTAAATAAATCATTACAGGTGCGTGAAAATATATTTATTAATTTTTAAGTGAAAATAAAGATAAAACTACAAAAAAAACAATATAATTTGATTTGTTTTGTTTATCTTAAAATGACATTGTTATTTTCAAAAATCTTGCAATAGGCATTCACTTAACGGTATTTGCTTAATGTTTTTGATGTTTATATTTCAAACTATTCAAATGTGTTGCTTAATATTTTGTTTTTGGTGATTTAATTTAAAAAAATGCTACATACTAATCGGCAACCAAATTTTGTTTTAGTTTTGAAATAGACACACCCGTGCGCACGGGGGGTTTGGGGGTTTAAAATTTAAACCCCCGGGGTTTTAAAAGAATATTAATAATTTTTTAAAATTATTTTGAACAAAATTCCTCTTCCGGTTTTAACAGAAGCGATTGTTTATTAATTTAAAAAGGGGGTTTAAAATTTAAACCCCCGGGGTTTTAAAAGAATATTAATAATTTTTTAAAATTATTTTGAACAAAATTCCTCTTCCGGTTTTAACAGAAGCGATTGTTTATTAATTTAAAAAGTAATATTTAATACATAATAGGAATTGTACAATATCTTTGTTATTATTAACTTTAGGTTATACCATATATGGTATAGGAAATGGTTATATCAATGAAAAGGTACAGGGCGTTGCATTAAAAATAAAAAAGTTATTGCTAAATAGTAGTCATAGAATTTGAAAATAAGGCACTTACGTGTTGTTAATTAAATGGGTCATTATGTTGTTGAAAATGACAAAAATTTGAAAACTCTGGGGTATATATATATTACAATTTTGGAGCTGCTTGAGAAATATTAAAAAATAATTTAATTTTTGTAAAGAATAATATATATATATATGTATATATGAGAAAAAAAAATCGGCAAAATGTTAGTGTTTTTAAAATTTGTCTTTTAATTTAATACTTTTAAATAGTTAGTTAATTTTTAAGTAGAAAAATTTAAATTTATTTATTATTTAATATATTCCAAAAAAACTACCTTTTTTTAAATAAAATTTGCATAAAAAAGTATAAGATTTCTTGAAATTCATCATTGGATATTTTGATAACAAAAATTAGGGATTTGTTTAATCTTATTTTATTTACAAACAATTCTAAAAAAATCGATTAGTTTAGAAAAATCATAATTATCTAACGTAATAAGGGCCGTTCATAAATGATGTCACACACTTAGGGAGGAGGAAGGGGTCGTCGTATACAGGGGAACCCAACAAAGTATCCAACAACACTTTGACAGATGTCAAGTGAACAGGTGACATATGTCAAGTGACAGATGTCAAGTTAACAGATGACATATGGTAGGTGATGTATGACAGGTGGCAGATGACAAATGACAGGTGACAGATGATAAATGGCAGGTGAGAGATTACAGGTGACAGATGCATGGTGCTGTTCTGAGAGGTGATTTTTGGACTTTCTGTGAAACCTAATTTTTTTTATATTCTTGTTAATTAGGTCATAACATAAATTTTAAGAGCAAAATAAAAAAAATTTGACGGTTAATTTTGTTTTAATTGTATGTTTATTAAAAATATGTAGGTATGCACACTTTCAATTCTCCAATTAAAACTTGCGATTTTATTTAAATATTACCATAACTTTTTAAATCAGATTAAAGATTAGGCCCGATAAACTTTACTAAAGATGAATAAACCGGTCCTTCGTTAAATTTCATGAATTTCTTTGTAACTTTTACTACAATTTTTCATTTTTGTTTATAAAAAACACTTTAAAAAACTAAACAAAAATTATAGAATACGTATACTGAAAATGACAATTCAAACGTCAAATAAATTTGTAATAGATCTAAGTTTCATGGCAACCTTTAAGGATATATTAATTAAGGGAACATAAATGTATACGTCAAAGGTTATATTAAAAATTGAACGTTTATTGCAACAAAACAGTAAAATATATAAAAAAAATTGTAAAAACCTTTTTTTTTAGTTATGCAATTATTAAATATTTAAATTAAATCGCTAGTTTTAATTGGATAATTGTAAGAGTGCATAATATTTTAAAAATATCAAAAAAACGTGTGACATCATTTATGGACGGCCCCTAAGATACTCAATGATTTAATATTAAAAAATAATAATACGTGTAAAATTTTTACCTGTCAAACAAAAAATATACCACAGACAAAT